GGATAAATACAAAGATGACAACAGGCAACAGAAGAAAAAGCATGAGATGCACTACCGTCTGCTTTTTGCCTTCATCTGCTTCCGCTTTTTGGCAGCTTTGTTTTTCTTGCTCAGTTTATTTTTGAGTCTGAAATCAACGGAATTAAAACTTCAAATCCCGCATTGACCTTAATGAGTCAAAATTCAAAAGTAAAACAGGAGGTGAGAATATCTCGGCAGATTTGGGAAACTCACACTCCACTCATCCATGGAGGATAACTACCATCCGCTCTCTTCATAGTCTTCACGTTGATTGTTGCCGTCTTGGTAGGTTCCGGTGCTGCATCGTCCATCTGCAGATATGATATAACGGATGTAAAGTGATTTCTCATTGTAATGAAAACCAGTGATTGGATAGAAAGAACTAACCGATTCGAGTTTTTCGTTTCCTGGAGCGTTCTTCACGTTCTCGGCTTGTTTTGCTGAACAAAGGCATAAAAACAGAACGGAAAGAAAGGATAAAGTTGGCTGATCTTCTAGTAAGAACTTAACTATTTGGTGTTACTCTGCCCTAGATTACCAACTGCTGGCATGAGAAAAAGGAATTAACTTCCTACCGATCTCACTGCAAGATTGAGACTAAGATTGTTGTTGCGCAAAATTCTACCGAAAGGACCATGAACACAAGATAGCAATATATATAGCTGTAGCTGAGACTCCACGCGATCAAAAATATTTCACGACAACTTTTTCGGGAGTTGTCGTAAAGATATGCGCGAAATAGAAGGGCACAGCGGTTAGCTTGAGAAGTATTTAAATAAAAACATAAAAACATCAGCCATCCCTTCTTCTATCAGCAAAAGACGTTTTTTTTTAAACTGCGCTTTGCAATCGCCAGCGCGTACGTTCACATTCCACACATGCTAGACTTTTGGGGATTGTAGGCTTATACGTCGTGTACACGATGTGACTGAACCAAACATGTACAAAAAACCCAAATATTAGTTCGACAATGAAGCGCATTATTTATTTCGCGCTGTCTGACTAATCTTTTCTTATGTTCACTGCAAGTTAAGCATGGTCATAAGCAAAATACCTGCCAAAAGTCGAGGGATCTCTTAGAGAGAATGCAAAAAATACTGCTGAACACAAAGTTCTTGATGATTTTCCAAATAAAAAGATTTTAACTTGACACACCATGTAAAAAAAGCTTTGTATAAGTTGAGCTAGCGACATTCAACGTACCAGCTTGTGCTTGATCGTACTCTTCCCGTCTGGCTACAGCTGCTTCTAATAGCTTATCCTCTTTGTGAACTTTCTTTGTTCGCGCTATAGCGCGCATCTTTCGTTTGAACTTTGATCGTAGACTCTTTGCCATTTTCTCTGGAAAAG